GAACTGATGTAGTGTTAAACACTGAGTCTGCAGTTCCCACAAACATTTCTTACAAATCCTTCAAAACATAGAATTTACCTATGCAAAATTCCTATACTGTGATCACAGAAACGTTGCTAGTGTAAACCAATCTTTAAGCTTGCTGGTATACGTTTACGAAAGAGAGAATTTCCTTTGTGGTATAAAGCGAGAAAATTGATATACTATAAATTGCTTTGATATTGTTATTCCAAGCTTTCATACAGAGGGCACGCAATTTGCTGATCTGCATTTTTCTATAGTACAATATTCGCTATGTAAGTTTTAATTTCTTTTAAATGCTGTAGTAGACTCGTCGGATATATGTATACAGGTTTTATCAATAACTATTTACAATTTTCAGTAATTAGTGTGAAATGACGTTTTCATAGACTGTTTTGTGTGAAAAGTGTTTGGCCTCTAGCCACCACGTCAAGTCGCTTTTGCCATTTTACGTCACGTACATTAATTAATTGTGTTTCCTTGTGGATGTGTTAAATAAATGTTTTGCGAATGTCTTGCTGCAATGACAAACAGCCATATAATCTAAAAGGCTGTACGTTATTTACGCTGTACCGGATAGAGACGGGAAAAACATCTATCCGTACCTTTTAAGAACGCTATTTTCCCAGGAATTATTGCAACGGAGAGATGTTGTTTCGCTCAGCTTCTGAAAGTTGTGCATTCCGCATCGGAATGGGTGTTATTCGCGCCCAACCTACAGCCTTAAAAGTAGTCACAGGAATTCCAGCACAGTAATAAACGTCCGTAGATTAAATACTGAATCGTTTTAGACGTTACATCATACACACACGGTTCTGTTAGGGTGCATGGTTTTATAACACCTTGAAGTATGTAAAAAAATTCACTCAACTGACGCCTCGTTTTTCACACAATTTTCGGTGCTATAAATGGCTAAAATAGACTTGATAAAAACTTCCTCGCGCTAAGTATTGTCTCTCGTCTCCACATGCAATTAAAACGCTTTGACGCTTAAATTTAACCTAGAACGTTCGACGTCATCTCTTTAATTACTAAAAATTGCCGTTAGCCGTTACGTTACGGCTGGACCTCTAAGGAGAACAGTAGTTAGAACTGATAGAAATAGATCCAGTATAAGTAAAGTTAGTTAAGTATAAGTAAAGTTATACTGGACAGCTCTATCAGTTCTAAACTGTTCTCGCTAGAGGTCCAGTAAGGATCATCTCTTATTGATCCAGTGTTACTACAGGAGGAAACCTAAACTAAACTAACTTTATTTATACTGGATAGTTCTATCAGTTCTAAACTGTTCTTCCTAGAGGTCCAGTAAGGATCATCCCTTATTGATCCTGTGTTACTGCACCAGAAAACCTAAACTAAACTAACTTTATTTATACTAGATAGGATCATCCCTTATTGATCCTGTGTTACTGCACCAGAAAACCTAAACTAAACTAACTTTATTTATACTAGATAGCTCTATCAGTTTTAAACTGTTCTTGCTATAAGTATCTATCAGTTTTAAACTGTTCTTGCTATATTAGAGATAGAGAATTGCAGTATAAATAAAATTAGTTTAGTTTAGGTTTCCTCGTATCTATCAGTTTTAAACTGTTCTTGCTATATAGAGAATTGCAGTATAAATAAAATTAGTTTAGTTTAGGTTTCCTCCTGTTGTAACACTGGACCAATAAGAGATGCTTACTGGACCTCTAGGAAGAACAGTTTAGAACTGATAGAACTATCCAGTATAAATAAAGTTAGTTTAGTTTAGGTTTCCTCCTGTAGTAACACTGGATCAATAAGAGATGATCCTTACTGAACCTCTAGGAAGAACAGTTTAGAAGTGATAGAGCTATCCAGTATAAATAAAGTTAGTTTATTTTAGGTTTCCTCCTGTAGTAACACTGAATCAATAAGAGATGATCCTTACTGGACCTCTAGGAAGAACAGTTTAGCACTGATAAAGCTATTCAGTGTAAATAAAATTAGTTTAGTTTAGGTTTCCTCCTGTTGTAACACTGGATCAATATTAAGAGATGATCTTTACTGGACCTCTATAGGAAGAACAGTTTAGAACTGATAGATCGAGCTATCCAGTATAAATAAAGTTAATTTAGTTTAGGTTTCCTCCTGTTGTATAAACACAGGATCAATAATGATCTTTAGTGGACCTCTTGGGGGGAACAGTTTAAAATTGATAGAGCTATCCAATTTTGAAACATTTTCTGCAGATCATTTGTTTCGTAAAGCGTCGTATTAAATCATGTCATGCTAATCTACCTATAAACGGCTCGGAAGCATTGGAAAATATGTAAATCTTTGTTTCTTCAAGAAGATAAATGTAAAAATGATTGATTATAAGTGAATGTAAGAGGATTAAAAAGATAAAATAACAAAATCCTAATCATATAAGTGAATCTTAGTATACATGGGCTTATTGCATAACATCAGTCCAGCGATCGAAAAGTTTCATTGTCTTTTCATTGTTTTAAAACCCCACTGTTCTCCATGCCAACCGGACACTACTGTCTACTTACTATAATAATAATAATTTAACCCAAACAAAGTACCAAAAGATGTACAGCGGACCTAATACTACCTTATATTACACTAATAAAAAAACTCAATAATGATTAATGGGTGATTCCACCTCTAGACTAAATCCAGATCAAGGCCGCAAGAAGAACGAAATCCAACACCACAGAATAAGTAAAACTGTAAAGATTGGTTCCTAAATGTTGTAACATGAGGAAAATATAGACCTGTGAAGTTCGCAAATTTTGTATATATTTGTATTACGCGCGGTAAAAATAACCACTTTCGGCTCAGAAATGGTTATTTTTCCCGCGCGTAATGCAAATTCATACAAAATTGGCGAACTTCACAGGACACATGAGAGGGTCTTGAAGGGGGGGGGTCCCAATCCCATTTCCCACCTGAAATTTTGGCAAAATCCCAGTCCCAGTTGGATTTTTATTAGAAATCCCAGTCCGAGTTATTGAAATCCCAGTCAATAAAAAACCCTTTATTTATGGGTAGAATAAACAGTTTTAAGACCTTTTAAGCCACCGTACGCGTGTGTGCAAGTGGCGAACACTTTATGAAATATTGGAGGAGGGGGGTTCGAAAATTTTTAAATTTGAATCCCAGAAATGGCATTTGCAGCATTCTGAGACACGCATAATCAGAAAACCCAGAATTCCGGGCGCCAGAGTATGCCTGTTCGCAGGTAGTACTGTGAATAATATAGTTAACAACAAAAATCATGACCAAAGACACCAAAAATGGATCAAAATTGTATTTTAAAATACTTGAAACGTAGAAAAATTGGGAATCGACTCGCATTACCTCAATCCCATTCCCATTTTTGAGGACTTCATTTCCCATTCCCAGTGGCCAAATCCCAGTCCCAGCAACCCAAATCCCATTTTCCCAGTCTAAAAATAGATCAATCCCAGTTCCCATTTTACCCCTTCAGGACCCTCACATGAGCGCTATATTTTCCTCATTTTACAACAATTCGCAACCAAACTTTGCAGTTTTACCAATCTTAACATGCTCTTTCTAGCTATGGTAATGGCTTTCGTTCTTCTTGCCTATAGATCAAAATTTTGTCTATTGCTCGAATCATTCATTGCTGAGGACATGTTAATTTAAATAAACTCTAGCTTTGATTTTCTCGGCTTAAGGAGGCTCCCTACAGTTGCGTGCGGGATGTTCGCGGGACCAGTACGTGGAACTATCCCACGCAACTGCATGATCAAAACAAAACAAAAATTGACCACGCTTTTGTTAAAAAATAAAGCTATTTCTGAAAGGTTTCTAATGGAAAAAAGCGTTGAATAATACTTCGTTTTGAGTACCAAATCACTTGCGAGTCTATACAGCAATTCTACATATGATACGAATATTACCAGACCAAAAAATAGCTACGAAACAATGTTTTTAAATTTTTTTTAAATATACACTGTCAACTGTAAAACATTTGCAAAATTGCATACAAACGTTGAAAAAGTTGTTTACTTCTCAAGAAAACGTTCACGTTTTTAGTCGTGTTTCTACAAGTTTAAAGTGATTATATGTAAACAGAAAAATATTCCAGTTTCATAGCCTAATTGTTCATTTTTAGCAAAAAGTACAAAACCAAACATGAAACAAAAAAACATGTCCACCTGTTAATAGGCTGTTACAGCTCATAGATTGAGTAAACGGCAGGGTTCAATTAGCTTCAACCTTGTTTTCATCGATTTGATCCTTCACAATAATCCTTGGCTGTCCATGGCACTCAAATAAATCGAAAAGCTGACAAAAACAAAACAGTAAAAACAACATTGCCGATCGATTTTGCTGAATGAAAACTCGTTCTGCGCCCGCGTACAATCTTTCACTAATCAGCGACGCTTTTCAATAGGGGAATTTCTCGAGTTACACGAGGCTATTTTCTTACTTTATTTGTATTTTACTCATTAGTTTCATCGGTGACCTATCTTCAAATTTTGACCACGAATTTATTTTGCGGTAAATTTTATAAATTTCAAATTTTAAAAAAATCTGTAGTGTGGAAATTTCGCAATAAATTTTTCGCTTTTAAAAAAATCACACACTACAGAATTTTTTTAAACTTTCACAACAGTTGCAGAGCATCATTCCTTATTGATATATGAAATAAAAAAGATAGGTCACCGACATCGTTTTTGAGATAGCGGCACATTTATGGGTTAAATTGGAAGGTTTTATGCTGTCGTCATGTTGCCATGGGAACATTGACATCGTCGAAATCTAGTTCGAAATATTCCTTAGGTGACCAATATTGCCACCAAGTCGAAAAGAATTCGCGTTCTGCACGAATAAGCCTGTTTTACGGAATTATTGCTTAAACAAGAATAACTGTAGGGAGCCACCTTAAACATCGTTTATTTTTAAAATTACTTCGCCAATGAACTCATTAGTCGGGATTAGATGTTTCGTTTTGTAAAAAATATTATATTTCAACTATGTGCTGAAATTCTTAAATTTCAAGACAGCTCGTCGATGTTTAATAACGTTGCGGATTTCCAAAAGTGTTCATGACCAGAGGAAATCACATTTATCTAAACCGTGACAGCATTTGAGGTAATTAATTAAACAGTCTTTCTATCAATTCAACACGCGATCACATGTCTATAGCGCAACTGATATCTGCTAAGCTCGTTAACCAACTTGAGTTTCGCGGGTCTTAAAATAGCCGTCAGTCACGCGGGACATATTGTCCGACCCATTCGTAAAATTGTCCTACGTAGAGGGGAAACCACTGGACATTCTGTCCGACCTAAGTGAAACTGAGGTTTATTGTTTGTCCGACCCGAGTGTATTGTTGGTGTCCGACCTAACTGTAACTTTGTCCAACGTCAATCAAAATGTACCCTAGTCCAGGACTAGAGGCTCGTATGTTAAATGGAGAATCAGAGTAATGTATAAAAAGTGAACTGGAAATGTGTAATCAAGTGCGGGGTTTTCACCCTGGGGTTCCGAAATTCATTGCCAAGATTCAAATGACTTTTCCAAATTGTGCTGATATTAATTTTATTTTATTTTATTTTATTTTACAAGTTTGCCATTGCAATAGATCTATATAGAGTACTATGGTTACAAATGACTGGAATTTCCACACAGAGATAGTTCTCCAATAACGGGGTTCCAAAAAAGAACAACTTATGGTTTATCTAATTATTTTAAATAAACATTATAACAATTAAACACAAATACAAGAAGACAAAGCAAACGTAGGCCCCTATTGTCTATTGACGAACAAACGAACAAAAACTAAATTTAGCAACATGTTCGAGTTGATAAGTTCATTAGTTGGCGAGTGGTGTGACATTTAATACAAGCAGACTTAAATGTTCTTGGATCTTCAGGATCATAAATTTGTTGGGCTAATTCTACGTAATGTTTCATTAGATTACATTTAAATGTAGTTAGAGATGTGGTGGTGTTTCTTATGAAGCCGGGAAGCGTGTTTTGAAAAGAGACCAGTTTTACTTTTGGTTACATGAAGTAGGATGCCGTTAGTTGAACTAGTATTCCTTGTTTCTCGTGTGTAGGGATCTTTATAGATATGTTACTGTCAGAGTTGTTTATAAGGCATTTATGAAGATACACCATATCTAAATACTCATGCCAGTAACATAGGGGGAGGATTCCGATATTAGCCAATCGTTTCTTATACGAGATAGATGTTTTGTACGGATAATAATAAATTTTGATGCACGTCGCTGCAACCGTTCGATCATTAGGATGTTGTTGACAAATAGTCATTCCCTAACAAGCGGGAACTGTGCTAAAATTAAATGGTGCTAATTGATTTTTTTTTACTTAACTTTGAGCCTTAATCATCATAATAAAATGTTAATGAAATGATTTGTTTTGTGAATGCACAAGTGTGATCGTGTGAATCTACGATTCCGAAGTATTAATGGGCGGATCTAGCTTCATCTGCAAGGAGGGGTGTAGGTTTTCCATGAGGTGGTGCACGAGGGAGCCTTACTGCAGGGATTATTTTAAGAAAAATTTAGAACTGCACATACAGCGATGTTACGAAGGCAACGGGTGTTTGACTGGGGGGGGGAGGGGGTGGTCGAAGGATTTTTTACCTGCATATAGGTGACAGAATAATGGTGTGGTTGGGTCTGCCTCGTCCCCAGTCGCTTGCTATCAAATAATTAATTAGTAAAAGACGAAAAAAAATTAATGGGGGCGCGCGGGACGATGGGAAGGGGAGGAGTTGCGGAGCGACTGGCAAATCCTGCATTCAAGATGGCGACCGCTGCAATTGTGGACGAAGGATTGTCGTCCGGTTCATATTTGCATTTCCGACTTTGGAGTGGGGAAGATTAAAATATCTCGGCAAGTATTTGCTCGCCCTTTAAAACGAAAACCACCATTGAAATCCTCATAAAATAACCTTTCGAACGGGGGGTCAAATGCCGTCATAACATGACACAAACCAAAACGATCGTATATTTACTTGCCGCTTGGCCAAACATTCTTATTTCATATCGAGAAAAACTTGAATATCTTCTAAACTCTTCAGAATTCGCCCAAGTTAATAGCAGTAAAATATTCCTTGTATTCAAGCGATTTTATGTAGAGAGTTTCGTTTCAATACGACGAGCAGAAATATTTATTTTGAATTTTTCAAAATATCAGGTTTCTACTCGCACGCGCGTGCCACCGGCTGAAATTTAGATATTTTTAAATACTGAAATAAAAGATACAAATCTGCAGATACAAGCTGGAAAATAAGACTCTAAATAGTGTGTTGGATTGTGATTCGAACAAGACTAATACGAAAAAGATACGTTGAAAGGAGCCGAAGTTATATTCGGCGAAAGGTATGGCTTAGTGATACATGGCCATACATTGTTTACATTGTTCAAGTATATTGTATATAGGTATGGTATGGCTAGTTTACGTTGTTCGAGTATCGCTAGTTTATATTTTATGGCTATCTACAGTGTTCGAGCATATAGTTTCTTTCAAGCGGAATTTTTTGGTGGTATTTTGAATTCGTATTTCTTCGTATTTCTCAGCATTTAGCCCATTTGCAGATTTTCGAGTAAATTCGCAGATTTTCGAGTCACGATTTGGCAGGCCCTTATTTTAATTTTTTTCGTCTTCCCAGCATGCATCACAACAGATTTGTTCAGCCACTGATCTATATATTAAACTGATATGTCTATATATACACTGATCTACAAATAGTAAGGGCCTGCGGAGGAGGCAGTGGTTGGGTGGGAGAATTGGAGAAAGGCCAGATAAACTCGATTTTGGGTGCGGGAGCTAGGGGGTGTTTCCCAAAACATTTTGAATCTACAGGCTCTTAAGTTCTGGCAAAGATTTGTTTTACCCGACCACTCACAAAAACTGTTTAAAAACATGTAACTGGGAATTATGGAGTATTCAATATATAACAACCTTAAATTTGCATTTGAGGCAGCAAAGAATATTAGGTTCTCCCACTCTAATCTCTTTTGGGGAGTTTCGCTCGCCCCAATTTTACCTTCTTTTCCATTACCCCAGCACGTAAGGAGGCTCTGGAGTCCTCCCCCTGAAAACGTTTATATTTTTGATGCTCAATTAATGACAGCATTTCTGGAATTTTCTGGAGCATCCACAAGGGTAACGAGTAAATGAGAAAACTGTTTTAATTAATGCAATTTTTGTTAGTTTGGTGACTGCACATTTGTGTTTTAAGAACTGCGCAAATGGGTTTAGAACTGCACATTTTGTGTAGAACTGCACGTTAAAATAAACCCTGCGGCTTACTGCCCACTCTCCTCTGCAGTCTGCAACGCTACTATCCCAACATTACCATTATTTGAGATGGCCGAATCTGCATGTTCGCCGTTCTGTTACGTTTTACATTATCTTTTGTTTATAAAGTTTATATCGGCTTTTTATCACGTATGCGTGACTGGACAGTTGCTGTAGCACAGTACAGTAAATTTGCTTGTTCAAGTACAGTATATTTGAAAATATGGCTGTATAACAACCTCGACATGTTTACATATTTAACCATGATATTTAACTAAAGCATTCTGAGTATTTTCTCGTGAGCTCACAAATAAATTAAATCGTTTCCGCAAGAAATCAAGTTCCGCTAATCGCTGCAGCAACTTCCTCGAATGAAACAGACTTTTTTTTGAGGCCAAGTACAAGGTTAACATGATAACTTGCATATGTCCTGTAAATGTCTTGTCTAGCTGTCCTCGTTGTGGTAATTCACTTTATTAAAACCAGAACAAAAATTAGTCAATCAGTTGATGATTGACACCGTTGAAAGAACTTTTGAAATCTTCTAGAAATAAAAACAAAATATAATCCTCGCCTTGCGATAAGTTGCTTAGGATTCATAAAAAAGCCAGAATACATCATCGTCGATCTACCGCGAACTTCTCTATGGGCGGATCTACCGTGGATTGTGCAGGGGTAACGCCCCCCTCCCCCCCTAGAGTTGCCTAGCACCCCCTAAAGAAGTCCAGCACTACCCTAAAAAAATCTGCTTGACCATACATTTTCTGCTTTTCGAATAGCGATTAGCGGAACTTCTACCGTTAGCGCGTGTCGATTTCTTGAAACGATTTAATTGATTTGTGAACTCACGAGAAAATACTCAGAATGCTTTAGTTAAATATGTAAACATGGTTAAATATGTAAACATGTCGAAGTTGTTATACAGCCATATTTTTAAATATACTGTACTTTAATAAGTTTACTGTGCTGTGCTACAGCAACTGTCCAGTCACGCGTACGTGATAAAAAGCCGATATAAACTTTATAAACAAAAGATAATGTAAAACGTAACAGAACGGCGAACATGCAGATTCGTCCATCTCAAATAATGGTAATGTTGGGATAGTAGCGTTGCAGACTGCAGAGGAGAGTGGGCAGTAAGGCTCCCTCATGCACCACCCCATGGAAACCTGCACCCCTCCTTGCAGATGAGGCTAGATCCGCCCCTGAATTAAGAGATTGGTGGAATGCAGTGCGTGTGTCATACGAAAACATGAAGCGAAAAAAACATCTTAAACAGGATTCCATTTTAATCCGCTAATGTGTTTACACTCGTTGCCACGCACTTATTCATAACTCTGGATAAAACACACATACCCAGCCATTACAGTTCTGATAATATAACCATAAAACAGAAGAACTTAGGTAACCAAGCATTAAAATTAAACGAATATGATGATTTTCATGCAGACAGTTGCAGACAGTGGGAAAATATGAAGAAAAGATTTAAAAATGCATAAAAAACTCTTCAGACAAATTCGGCTTATTTTATTTACACGCAATTAACAGCTATGAAGAACTGATATTGGGTAGAATAACAGTAAGTAAGCATTAGAATCATCTACTGTAGATGAGTGAATAGGTCGTATGAATAACTCGGTGATGTAACTGGCTCAGGCCTTAAAATATCGGTCAGCTAGAGTAGCGTCAGAGAACCGTCTGACAAAATATTCGATGATTTTGGGTCGGACTAATGTATTGTGATGTCCGATGATGTTGAGTTCAGTTTGCCTTGGAAATAAGTATGAATGCAGACACGAATTAATACCAGCACAATTTGGAAAAGTCTTCTGAATCTTGGCAATGAATTTCGGAACCCCACGGTGAAATCCCCGCACTTGATTACACATTTCCAGTTCACTTTTTATACATTACTCTGATTCTTCATTTAACATACGAGCCTCTAGTTCTGGACTAGAGTAGATTTTGATTGATGTTGGACAAAGTTACAGTTATAGGTCGGACACCAATTCACTCGGGTCGGACAAACAATAAACCTCAGTTTCACTTAGGTCAGACAGAATGTCCAGTGGTTTCCTCTCTACGTCGGACAATTTCACGAATGGGTTGGTCAACCGAACGCTCAACCGAAAGCCTTGAGGTTTTTTACGGGTGGGATGGGATTAGTCCTGGTAAGCCATTACCAGACAGGGTGTTCTTGCAAAGCCTTGCACTCAATCAGGGCGGGCTGTGTAAATTCCTGCGACTAAGGCCCACGGGTATTTTTCAACAAAACCATTAATGATTTTGAAGATGAGAAATAATACATTTCCATTTGTAAAACCATCAATAGGGCCATTTATACGGGACAAAATAAGTCGCGACTTACATAAGACGCGACTTAAATAAGCGGAGTTATCGCATAAATGGTTCTCTACGGCTTTGGTCTTATTTATTTGCTATAGCTATAATGTTGTTTTGTTTGTTTTTGTTTTAATATGCAAGGCTAATAATTTTAAGTTGTTTCAAGTTTCTGGCATGTGTAGTTAGACTTTTTGTCCAAAATTTCTTATTTAAGACGCGACTTAGATAAGAACAGTTAAAAGGCCTGTTCTTATGTAAGACGCGTCTTACATAAGAATTTTGTACCTTTTATACGACAAACTCGCGTCTTATTTAAGTCGCGTGACTCGCGTCTTATGTAAGTCGCGTCTTATTTTGTTCCGGCCTATAAATGGCCCTAATGATGGATTTAACAAATAATTGTCATTAATGGTTTTCTCTTTTTAACTGAACCATCAATGGCTTTTATTGATATCAACATCATGGTAATTATAGTTTTAATTACCATGAATGATAAGAATGGGTTTTATTTATATTACATAATGTTAATTGCTGTGAATATTGCTGTGAATATTGCCACAAAAATGTATCTTGGTGGTTTTTAAAAGAAACCCATTTACCATTAATGTGAATCAAAATTCCGACAGTTTGTAGAAAACAATACACAATACTATATAATTTAATAGAGTAATTTTAAAACTGGGCAAGGAGATGCAAATAAATCACCACAGCTAGAAAGAGCATGCTAGAATTAGTAAAATTGCAAAGTTTGGTTGCTTAATGTTGTAAAATACCAAAAATATAGCCTTGCAAAGTTTGAAAATTTTGTATACTTTGTATTACGTGCGGAAATTGTTACCATTTTCGGTCCAAATGTGGTAGGAATTTTTTCCCCCACGCAATACAAAAGTATACACAATTTGCGAATTTTGCAAGGCTATATTTTCCGCATTTTACAACATTTTGCAACCAAACTTTGTAATTTTACTCATTTTAGTATGCTCTTTCTAGCTGTGGTGATTTATTTGCATCTCCTTGCTTAGTTTCAAAATTAGTGTATGCACTGGGGTCTGGGAATTGTCTATTGTGTATTTTTTTCAGTTTTCACATGAATGGTTTTCGATCATTTGAATGGAATGCAGAATGGTTTTAACGGGAAATACATTTTGAAAAGCTTACTTTTTCACATCAATGTCAATGTCATTGAATTCGCGTAAATAGGAATTCTCAATATGTACCATTATAGAAATTACTTTTTCCGTTCATGGATTTTTAATTTTTTATTGTGATGTCAAAATTAAAACAAGGGATCACCAATTTTAACCGCCCAGAATGTTCTTAAAACTCACAAAAATTAAATGAATAATGCAAAAGCACAAGTTATTTATAAGAAAATGTACTACGGCTTATAGAATATCAAAATTGTGGTCTTTACTTTTTAAAGAAGGGATTGTCTAATACCACGTGCTTTAAGAAATATCACAAAAACATATTAATTTACGTCAAAATTCGATTTTAAATGCTTACCATTTCATAACTAAGTGGCAGAAAGCTTCCAATTTTTTAAACGATCTCTCAAATTTTAATATTGTAAAATATCGTTCCTTTTGACATTTAAATCCACTTTAATAAAATTTCAAAGTTTTTAAATTTGCCGCCATCTTGGAAATATATTTTTACCCTGAAGTACTTTATATAACTACAAATGAAGTTATTTTTTGAGCTCAACGCAATTTATTCAATAATAATGCACTCATAGAAATACTCGGTTATTCAGTTTTATAACAAACGTACTTGCAGGGAGGTGAGTCCGGGATTGGACGCACCGAGGATGGCTGGAAGTTTCCCGATATCTCAAAGAGATATCTCAAACGTGCTGGTCCAGTGTAGGTAGTATTCTACAATAAGCTGCCGTGGTTTGTGTCCGAACTACATGAAAAAGATACCTCAAACGTGGTGGCTCAGTGTAGGTAGTATTCTACAATAGGATGTCGTGCATGCATGGTTTGTGTCTGAACTACGTGAAAAAGATATCCCAAACGTGGTGGTCCAGTGTGGGTAGTATTCTACAATAAGCTGTCGTGGTATATCTGAACTCAAGTTTTCAACGTGTTTGAGCGAAGCCCTTTCATTAGAAAATTACCTAATCAGGCATGTTATTTTTAAACTTTACTTATTGCTCTAGAACATACTTAACTCATTATGACGAAACTGTAGTCATGCTGTTTCATATTCGCAAAACACATTCATGCTGATCGTCAAGTATTTTTTCTATAAACTGGATCCAACTCGCGTTGTTTATTTTACGATTTCTGGGCGATACAACACTACATGACTGACCGTAATGTCTTGGCTAAACAAGAGTTATTTAAGAGAAATTCAACCCAACAGTTATTACGACAACGATACTGCTGGTCTCCTTTGTATTTTGTTTATATAGAAGAGTTATTAAGAGAAGAATCTTTTGTATGTTACGTAACACGCGCACAACACTATTGCATGTAATATACATTTCATTTGGTTATGACTATATTCAATTTTATTAATTTTTGATACGTTTCTGAAGCGGCAAACAAACTTATAGTATGTTTAGTGCTTTATCTGTAAAATTATGTTAAAATGAAGAGATTTTAGATAGTACGCCAAAGACGGAAAACGATGTCTGAAGTTCAGTAAGTTTTACCCTTATATATTGCTGTATAAATATGGCGTCAATTTTACAGCATCAATGATAATTGTAATTAAATTGACAATATTTAACTTTTATTTTGTGTTTCTCAACCGACAGATACATTTAAAAAGGTTGCTAACTGTGTAAACTACAAAATAAAGCCAAAACAAAGTAATTTTGAGAGGAACGGCAACGCCAAAAAGTTTCAGGTTTTGAACACTGCACTTGTCATCGCAAGTACGACATTTGCCTCTTAAAAAAATTGCCTTTTACTGTCGATGCAATAGAAGTGTTGGTAAAATATTGTATGCGTTCGGATCAAATGAATTAGAATTTGAAACACACATTCTGCACTGCAAAAGTAAAGATATATTTCAACAAATTCTCAACAAACAATCTTTAAGAAGATGTTTCCTGGTTTGCCAACCTTTCGCTTCAATTGCTTGACGCAT